TTGCCCTCCTTCTTGGGGTGGAAAAATGACCTGGAGGAGCGAGCACAGGACGGGCAAGAAAGAAATGAAAACAGCAAGAAAGAAATGAAATGAAAACGGCAATAATTCCTCTGATCCACAATATCCTCTACAGCTTCTGACGCCAGTTCCGTTCTACCGTGTAACAGATTTCAAACAACCCCCTTTGGTAAGGAAACTGAAGCCCAGATGAGGAGGCAACACTCTGCTTATTTTCCTGCCTTCACTCACCCTGAGAGACATGCCACATCCCCATTTTCAGTGACGGGTATTAACTAAGCACGGAGTGTAAGCGAAGGACAGATGAGCCCTGGATTTCTCATCACGTGAGAAAAATGCAGCCTGGGTCTGCATGAGCCACCGTGTCCCAGGTCTGCGTGGTGGTGTCCAGGTCTGGGTCTGTCTCGCTCCTCATAAAAGCCCCCCACTTTCCTCTTGGGAGGCCTCTGCCCCAAATTCTCTCCGTATCTGAGATTGGCATAGGCCTGTCCTTTCACCCATGACCGGGGTGGGCACGTGCCCCAGGCCTAGCCAATCAGAGCCCTGGATCAGGGACCAGCATGGGGCTAAGCTGGGCCAATGACACACGAGCCTGGACACTGTTGGAACAGCTGGGAGAGAGGCACTCTTCCCAGGGGGACTGCTAACTCTCTGGTGCCAGAGCCCAAGGACCAGAACCTGCCAGCACGACATAACGTGAAGGAAAGCAGAGCTGAAACATGGCGAGAGACGGATTCCCAGGGGCAAAGCTTTGGCACCTGGATCCAACTATTAACTCCAGAAGGTTTCAACGACACAGCCAAGTAATTCCCAATCCCCTTCCCCCTTTCCCTGAGCCCTGCCTCAGTACAGGGATTCCCAACCTGGGCATGCCTGCAGGACAGGCCAGACCATTCCCTGTTGCATCAAGGATACTTAGCAGCAGGCCTGGCCTTTACCCCCTCTCGCCCCCTGTGGCAACCTCAAATACTGCCACTGAGAACCACTGGGTTAGGCCAGTGGTCGGCACACCGTGACGGCTCTTTGGCCCCTTGAGTGTGGCTCTTCCACAAAATACCACGGCCTGGGCGAGTCTGTTTTGAAAAAGTGGCGTTAGAAGAGGTTTAAGTTTAAAAAATGTGGCTCTCCAAAGGAATTTCAGTCGTTGTACTGTTGCTATTTGGGTCTGTGGTCTAATGAGTTTGCCGACCACTGGGCTAGGCTTTCCGAACCCTGCACCTAAAATGTTTTAGTTAACTCACTCTCCGTTTTCCAGGGCCCACCCCCTGTTTTCCATACTGATCAACTTCTGGAAAATGCCAACCTGAGTTTTTCTAAGAAAAGGCAGCGAGTTACAGAGACAAGCAGAGACTCGAAGAGTTTAAGACGAGAAGGGGGACAAGGGTTCCTTACATGATACTTCGCTGCATGATGGCGGCAAAAGTGTCCCTTCCCCGCTCCTCCTCCTCTTCTCCTGCCTGCTGTTCTGGAACAGAAATCCAAATACTGGGTGAGAAGACTGCTTGTGCAGACACAAAAACTCACAAACCTCCCTTTTTTAAAAGATATTTTTATTAATTTCAGAAAGAAGGGGAGAGATAGGAACATCAATGATGAGAATAATTGATCAGCTGCTTCCTGCACAACCTCTCCCCCTCCATCCCCCCCAATCAAGCTCCCAACCCAAGCTTGTTCCCTCAACTGGACTCGAACCTGGGACCCTTCAGTCCACAGGCCAATGCTCTATCCACTGAGCCAAACTGACTAGGGCTATAAACCTCCTTCTTGCAGAAAGAAAAAAAAGCCACAAAATCAGAAACATGCATTTCCCCCTCGAGAAGAAACTCCCCTTTTTTCAGACCAGAATAAATTTTTTAATATATTTTTATTTATTTTTTTACAGATAGGAAGGGAAAATGATAGAGTTAGAAACATTGATGAGAGAGAAACATGGATCAGCTGCCTCCTGCACACTCCCCACTGGGGATGTGCCCACAACTAAGGCACATGCCCTTGACCGGAATCAAACCTGGGACCCTTCAGTCGGCTGGCAGACGCTCTATCCACTGAGCCAAACCAGTCAGGGCTGGACCAGGATAATGTCAGTGAGATTTGCCAGTCATAGTCTTCATACACCTGCAGCTGCTGACCCTTCCCCAGGTGCAGCTATGAGTCGCCTCACCCAGCGGTGGCCCCTGCTTCCTAGAAATACTTCCATACCTAGATGTCCTCCCCAATGAGCTAGTACTCACTCCTCACAGGCGTGTACCCCGTTCACTGTACCCCCACTTCACTTAGGCCCCACCCCTTCCCAAAGGGAGGCCTCCTACCTTGGCCCCGCCCCCTCACAGGTAACTGAGGCCAGACCACGCCCTATCCAGGAGGTTCCCGACCAGTGGTCGGCAAACTCATTAGTCAGCAGAGCCAAATCAACATTTCAGTCTACAAAACGACTGAAATTTCTTTTTTTTTTTTTTAATATATTTTATTGATTTTCCACAGAGAAGGGAGAGAGATAGAGAGCTAGAAAATGATAGAGTTAGAAACATTGATGAGAGAGAAACATCTACCAGCTGCCTCTTGCACGCCCCCTACCAGGGATGTGCCCGCAGCCAATGCACATGCCCCTGACCGGAATCGAACCTGGGACCTTTCAGTCCACAGACTGACGCTCTACCACTAAGCCAAACCGGTTTCGGCTGAAATTTCTTTTGAGAGCCACATTTTGTTAAATTATATAGGCAGGTACATTGTTATTAACTTAATTAGGGTACTGCTAAGCTGGCCTTTGCTAAAAACATGGTATTTTGCCCTGACCAGTTTGGCTCAGTGGGTAGCATCGGCCTCAGTGGGTAGTATGGACTGAAGGATCCCGGGTTCGATTCCAGTCAAGGGCATGTACCTTGGTTGCAGGCACATCCCCAGTAGGGAGTGTGCAGGAGGCAGCTGATGGATGTTTCTCTCATTAATGTTTCTAGCTCTCTATCCCTCTCCCTTCCTCTCTGTAAAAAATCAGTAAAAATTGGAAGAGCCGTATTCAGGGGGCCAAAGAGCTGCATGTGGCTCCCGAGCCGCGGTTTGCCGACCACTGGTCTCTCCATGGCCCACCGCTCAAAAGATGACTCCGCCCCCAACTTTTCCCTTTTCCTTCAGGTGGCCCCGCCCCTCGGGTGGCCCCGCCCCCGGGGCCGCATCCCTCGGCCCCTCCAATGTTCGGTGCCCCAGTCTACGTAGCCATTTCCTGACTGTGCCCCCACCCAGGGGGCCCGGTCCCTCCAAACCTCACGCGAGACCCTCTTCGTCCAACTACCTCCAGCCGCGCGTCTACCTCCCACCCGGCCCACCCGGCCTCCGCCCTCCGGCAGCCGCGCTGCCGGCGCTCTCCCCTCCTCACCGCGCCCCCGGCCGCCGAAGCCGGCAATTCCCCGCAAAGCCGCGAGCCCCGGGCACCCCTCAGCCCCCGCGGGCCGCCCCACTCGCCTCGCGCTGGCCCCGCGCGCCGCAGCCCTGGGCGCCTCACCGGGAACCCCCGGGTACTCGACTGCGCTCCCAAATTCGCGCCACGGAATTCGCGCGCAGACCTCGGCGGCCGGGGGTGGGGCCGGGCTGGGAGGCGGGGCCCGGGCGACGTCCGCGCCGCCGCCGCCCGGTGGATGCCGGGAGTTGTAGTCTCCGGGGCGGGAAGCTGTTAGGGGAGGGGTGAAGACGGGGCGAGCCCTCCCGCAGAGCACGCTGGGAGCAGGCCCGCGCCTTTCCTCGGTCTGGACCCGCGGATGTGCCTGCGGGCCCCCGGAGTGACCGACGGGGAAAGAGGGAGACTTGGAAGCAGCCCGCTGCGCGAGGCACGGCGGGAAGAGAGGCCGGAGGCCGCGCGGGGCATCCCGGGAGCAAGGGCCTTGGCGCGGGGCATTGTGGGACGCCGCTCCGGGGCGGGTAGGTGAGTGGGGAGGGGCGGGAAGAAGGGTGCACATCTGGGGGAGGGAGGAGGTACCGCTGGGTGGGACGGCGGGAGCGTCGGGGCCGCGGCGGGCGGGGCTGGGAGGGGCCGGGCGAGCGGGCGGGCGGGGAGAGGCTGCAGGGGCAGGGGTCGCGCGGCCGGACGCTGGAGCATCTGAGTGATGGAGGGTGTCTGAGGACCAGGGGCCCTGTCTCGGACCACAACGCACCCCTGGAGGGTGATCCCTGTAGAGGAAAGGAGGGGGGGTCCAGGGGGACGAGGGGAGTGCGACTGAGCCGGAGGGGGACGCAGACGAGTAGTAGTGACACTTCTGAGAACTGGCCCCAAGTGAACGGGGTGCACGCCTGCGAGGACAATCCCTGCCGTCTGTGGGGTGGACACCCAGACATGGAAGTATTTCTAGGAAACGGGGGCCACCCCGGGGGGAGGCGACTCCCAGGAGCTGCGCCTGGGGAAGGGCCAGCAGCTGCAGGTGCATGGAGACTGTGCCTGGGGGTGAGGGGTACCCGGCGGGATGTGGGGGCACATCTGGGGATGGAGCATCTTTGAGGGGGGGTGTCACCGCTGTGCAGCCGAGTGCGGACACGCGGAGGGGAGAGGTCCTTACGCATGGGGGCTCCAGAGGTCACTGCACGTGCCGGATTCACATCTGCAGGCGAGGAGGAGGTCTTCGCTGCAAGTTGGGGACCTATTTGAGGAAGTCTCCAGGAGTCATGTTTTGGGAGAGGGACCCCCACTGTACCGAGGGGTCACGTCCACGGAGGAGGGAACCAGAGCTGGTGTGAGGGGCCAGGATGGCAGGCTCCCGCCGTCTGTCCGTCCGTGGGTAATGCAGGAGGTGGGAGAAGGCCGAGGATGGGGTGGAGGTTTGTTTCTGGAGATGAATGGGGTTGTACCCCCGGGGGGGGGGGGGGGGACCCTAGAGGCCCCCGTGGCCAAGAGGCAGGTCTAACGTGGAGGGGGCGGGATGCTCCGGGGGGCTGGGTCTGCCGTCTCAGGCCCCTGTGTGTCCCCCCTCCCCCCGCCTTTGGCGCAGGTGCCCAGGATGGAGCCCCTGCGGGGCGCGGCGGTGGGGCAGCAGGAGCAGGAGGAGCAGGAGCTGCTGGCGCGGGCCTTCTTCTCCTGGGCCGAGTTCAGCCGGTTCTTTGACGCGTGGTGCCAGCAGCGGCGGGCGCTGTTCTTCGTCCAGAGCTCCATGCACCTGACGCGCTGCCACTGGGCCCGGCTGCCCCCGCTCCACGCGCTCATCGACGAGCTCAAGTACAGCTACGTGCGGCTGGTGTGCAAGGACGTGCGTGCCCCCAGCCGGCCCGCCATGGGGTAAGTGAGCTCAGCCACCACCCCGCTGCGCGCTGGAGGGGGAAGGGGAGCAGGAGGGAGGAGGGGTAAGCACAGAGCCCCACACCCAGGGATTGGAAGAGGGAGATGCCAAGTGAAACAGCTAAGTGTACATTGTAAGAGGGAAGCTTAGCTGAAACCGGTTTGGCTCAGTGGGTAGAGCATCGGCCTGAGGACTGAAAGGTCCCAGTTCGATTCCCGCCTTGGTTGCAGGCACATACGTCCCCAGTAGGGGGTGTGCAAGAGGCAGCCGGTCGATGTTTCTCTCTCATCGATGTTTCTAACTCTCTATCCCTCTCTCCTCCTCTCTGTAAAAATCAATAAACTATATTAAAATAATAATAATAAAAGAATACTAAAAAGGAGAGGAGGGAAGAAGAGGGCAGTGGGGATGTGCCCGTGGGTGACCGTGTGGCCCCCTCCGCAGGCACCATGAGGCGGGCTGCCCCGCCTTCATCATCGTCAAGCTGAGCCCGCTGCGGGACCGCCTGGTGGTGACGGAGTGCCAGCTGACCCACTCGCACCCGGCCTGCCCCATCGAGTTCGCCTACTACTTCCGCCCCGGCCGCCTGCTGGCCAACACCTGCCTGCCGGTGCGCACCACCAACAAGATCTCCAAGCAGTTCCTGGTGCTGGCCGACGTGCACCGCCTGCTCTCCTACTGCAAGGACCGCGACCACAGCGTCATCGACGCCCTGCGCGTGCTGCAGGGGCTCTTCCACAGGGACCCCGAGGCCAAGGTGGGTCCCGGGAGAGGCAGGCGGGGGTCACTCCTTCATTCATTCCTTCTCCCTCCCACTCATCCATCCACTCCCTCATTCATTCATTCTCCCTCCCACTCATCCATCCACTCCCTCATTCATTCCTTCTCCCTCCCACTCATCCATTCACTCCTTCATTCCTTCTCCCTCCCACTCATCCATTCACTCCTTCATTCCTTCTCCCTCCCACTCATCCATCCACTCCCTCATTCATTCCTTCTCCCTCCCACTCATCCATCCACTCCCTCATTCATTCCTTCTCCCTCCCACTCATCCATCCACTCCCTCATTCATTCCTTTTCCCTCCCACTCATCCATCCACTCCCTCATTCATTCCTTCTCCCTCCCACTCATCCATCCACTCCCTCATTCATTCATTCTCCCTCCCACTCATCCATCCACTCCCTCATTCATTCATTCTCCCTCCCACTCATCCATCCACTCCCTCATTCTCCCTCCCACTCATCCATTCACTCCTTCATTCATTCTCCCTCCCACTCATCCATTCACTCCTTCATTCATTCCTTCTCCCTCCCACTCATCCATTCACTCCCTCATTCATTCATTCTCCCTCCCACTCATCCATTCACTCCCTCATTCCACCTCACAGCCCCGTCTCCCTCTGCTTGAGCCTGGGTCCCCAGGTTCTGGCCTAGAACTGGGGTTCAGAGCAGTCGGGACTGGAGCTCAGCACCGCCGGAGGTTTTGTTTCTTCCCGCCAGGGCAATATGGCATCAGAGTCAACATTCCGTCCTCTGCGCGAAATGTGCGCGACTCTGGGGGCTCTGCTTTTCGCCACTCCCCTGGGATTCCGCCTCACAGCCCCGTCTCCCCCTGCCCGAGCCTGGGTCCCCAGGGTCTGGCCCAGAACTGGGGCTCAGCGCTGCCGGTTCGGGGATTCAGCCCAGTCCGGGGCTTTTATTTCCTTCCTACTAGGGAACGCCAGGCAGGCACCCAGCCTTCTCCTCCTCTCCGGCTGCATCCTCTCCACGCACACGCAGCATGTCTCCGTACCTTAGGCTTTTTCAGCTCCTCTGATTTTCCTTCTGGTTTTCTCTTTCCTTCTTGTTGTAGAATTTTCAGTCAGTCAACTACCTGTAGCTCTGGGCAATGTCCACTCTACCTTTTAGTTGAATTCCATTGAAAATTGTTGTGTGCTGCTGCAGTTAGGTGTCTACCTGAGCAGCCATCTTGGATCCTCCCTCACTCCCTCATTCATTCATTCTCCCTCCCACTCATCCATTCACTCCTTCATTCATTCATTCTCCCTCCCACTCATCCATTCACTCCTTCATTCCTTCGTCATTCATTCATTCATCCATTCACTCCTTCATTCATTCCTTCGTCATTCGTTCATCCACTCCTTCATTCATTCCTTCGTCCACTAAGTATGGGGGCATTGGAGGGGCAGTGGCAGCAAAGACCCGGGTGGTCCCTGCCCTCAGAGACGCCCTCTGGTGCAGTGCCAGCACCTCCCAGTCCAACTTCCTGCCGTGATGGAAACGGTCTGTGAGGCTGTGCTGCCTGCAGGGAAGTCCCGGCCACAGTTAGCCATTGAGCCCTTGAGCATGGCCAGTAGGGCTGAGGAACTGGATTTTAAATTTTTCTTTTTTTTAATATATTTTATTGATTTTTTTACAGAGAGAAAGGGAGAGGGAGAGAGAGTTAGAAACATCAATGGGAGAGAAACATTGATCAGCTGCCTCCTGCACACTCCCCATGGGGGATGTGCCCGCAACCCAGGTACATGCCCTTGACCGGAATCGAACCTGGGACCCTTCAGTCCGCAGGCCGACGCTCTATCCACTGAGCCACACCGGTCAGGGCCCACACCCGCATTTTAAAAACTGAACGACATATATAGGAAATGCATGAATGGTAAGCACACAGAGTGTTGCATGTTCACAAAGTGAAAACATCCCTGTACCCATAGCATCCAGATCAAGCATTGCAGATGGGTGTGGGGGGCGGGAAGGAGGGGGGCGCGCTGAGTTGTATAATGAGGGAAGTGGATTCCAGGCAGAGGGACCAGCCAGTGCGCAAGCTCAGAGGCAGGAGTAAGCTCCGTGGGCTGGAGGGACAGCGAGAATGCTGGACCTCTGAGGAAGCTTTTTGCGGCTTTGACCCAACTTCAGGGCTGGTATGGGCGTGAAGGGAAGCCAGGAGGGAAGGAGAGAAGGAAAGAAGACTGGTCTCTGCCCCTGGCTGTGCTTTTTTCTTTCCTGCCTGGAGGAAAGATAGGCATGAGCCTGCAGGGCAGATGGGAGAGGAACATCGATCCGCTGCCTCCTGCACACGCCCTGCTGATTCTGCAGGTATCACAGAACCCTAAGAACGTCAGTACGGGAAGATGGGGACCCGTCCCACATAAGGGCCATATCTGTCAGGAAGGGCTGCTAAGGCTTCTAGTCACTCTCTGTGGGCCAGAGCAAGTCACATGACCCTGCCTAAGTGCAGGGGGGCAGAGAGGCCTGGGCCTGCCAGCCACAGGCTTGTGGGGGCCCTTTTCCCTGAGCCCTGTCTGAGTCTGGGCACTTCCTCCCGCTCAATAGTCACACAGCCTTATCACAGGAAATGTTCTCTGTGTGTGTAGCCTCTTTATTTTTTTAAATATATCTTTCATTGATTTCAGAGAAGAGGAGAGAGAAACATCCATGAGGAGAGAGAATCATTGATCGGCTGCCTCCTGCACGCCCCCTTCTGGGGATCGAGCCCACAACCCGGGCCTGTGCCCTTGACCGGAATCGAACCCAGGACCCTTCAGTCCACGAGCTGATGCTCTATCCACTGAGCAAAACCAGATAGGACTTCATGTAGCCTCTTTTTTACATCATATCAGCCAACACCAGGTTGAAACTTCTGCTGACGTAAATTAAATCATAAAGTAACAGCGTAAAAACGGATGGCGGTTGAAAAAAATGATAGTGGTGCTGTGAGGTGCGCTTACTTGGCTTTTTCATACAATGTATTGCCTTCCAACACTGTTTAAGATGCTGAATGTATGAATTCAGGGTTAGGGAAGCAATTGCCTTGTTCTCTTTGGATTCTGCTTTTTTTTTTTTCCTCCTTGGGTTTTGTTGTTGTTGTTGTTGTTGTTTTGTTTTGTTTTGTTTTTTTCTCTCAAAAGCTGAGGGCTAAGCAGTGCTTTTTCTTTTCTTCTTCTTTTTTAATGTGGTGTTTTTAACGGTCTTGTAGAAGGAGATGGGTCATGGCTGAGTCTGTGGAGAGATCTGTGCTTGGATTTTACTTCAAATGTGATGATGCCCTACCCTGTGGTTGGCAAACCTCAGCTCGCAAGCCCCATGCGGCTCTCTGGCCCTTTGAGTGTGGCTCTTCCACAAAATACCACGGCCTGGACGAGTATTTTGAAGAAGTGGCATTAGAAGAAGTTTACGTTTATTTTTTTATTTTTTTTATAGTTGAGATCTCTACTTTTTTTTTAACTTGTATTTATTTATTTTTAATATATTTTTATTGATTTTATACAAAGAGGAAGGGAGAGAGATAGAGAGCTAGAAACATCGATGAGAGAGAGAGTCATCCATCAGCTGCCTCTTGCACACCCCCTACTGGGGATGTGCCCACAACCAAGGTACGTGCCCTTGACTGGAATCGAACCCAGGATCTTCAGTCCCCAAGCCGACGCTCTATCCATTGAGCCAAACCAGTCTCGGCAGAAGAAGTTTACGTTTAAACAATGTGGCTCTCAAAAGAAATTTTAATCGTTGTACTATTGATATTTGGCTCTGTTGACTAATGAGTTTGCCCACCACTGCCCTATCCAGTTTGGCTCAGTGGATAGAGCGTCGGGCTGCAGAACCAAGTGTCCCAGGTTCGATTCCAGTCCAGGGCATGTGCCTTGGTTGCTGGCTTGTCCCTGGCCCAAGCAACCCCAATATTTCTCTCTGTCTTTCCCTCTCTCTTCCACTCTCTAAAAATCAATGGAAAAAATATCCTCGGGTGAGGATTAAAAAAGAAAAGTGATGCCAGGTCCTGAGCAAGGCTTTTAAGCAGGGGAAGGGTGATCTGATAGAGGTGAAAATGCCCCTCTGGTACCCATGTGGTACCCCTGCGGGGAACAGGGGGCATGTGGATGGACACAGGCAGCTCAGGGAGGGGACAGCTGCAGAGCCCGTGAGAGAGGGCGGTAGCCATGGGGATCGGTCGGGGAGCGTTCAGATACCAGACTCATTATGAAGGCTGCTTCTAAGACGTGGGGATGGATGGATTGCACGCAGAGGGTGGAGAAGGAGGGAAACCAGGAATCAGCCCTGACTGCCGGGGCCTGAGCTGTGGAGTGGACGCTGGAGCCCTCAGTGGACATGGGGCAGGTTGAGAGAGTGAGAGGCAACTTCAGGGCTTTGGCCCACTAATCTCAACGGTCCCGTACGCTGTCCGAGGGGCCGTGTTGGTGCCGATGCCGTTAGGTGGGTAGGACTGGAGCCTGGAGACCCACAACCGGAGCTGTCAGCTTAGAGGTGGTGACTGCATTCCCATGGCAGAGCCTGGCGAAGGGAAGGCGGAGAGGGCTGGGACTCTGCAGGGGAGAAGCGGGCAGGGGAGGTGCCTGGGGGGAAGGACACAGCCAATAAGGAAGCAGAGAGCCACCTGTGTTCCAGGAAGGAAGCAGGGTCACGTGACATCTGAAGGCTGCTGAGAGCTCCAGGAAGGCAGTAGTGATAGCTGGGATCTGACTCACGCCAGCTGCCTGCCAAGCTTTGGACACAGATGATCGCATTTTATCCGCGCCAGGACCTTGTTCAACAGGCTTTATTCTCTCCATTTTGCAGACGAGGAAACTGAGGCTAACATGCCAGGGAAGTCACTTGCCCAAAGAATCAGAGCTACTAAGAGGCAAAGGCAGGCCCAGGCTGGTTTGGCTCAGTGGATGGAGCGTCGGCCTGAGGACTGAAGGGTCCCGGGTTCGATTCCAGTCAAGGGCACGTGCCCGGGTTGTGGGCTCGGTCCCCGGTGGGGGGCGGGCGAGCGGGAGGCAGCTGATTAATGATTCTCTCTCATCGTTGATGTTTCTAGCTCTCTCTCTCTCTCCCTCTTCCTTCCTCTGAAATCAATAAAAATATATATATATTTTTTTTTTAAAAAAAAAGGGCAAAGCCAGGATTCAAACACTGTACCCTGACCTCCACTCCAGAGACGAAGGCCCTGGAGGTCACTCACACCCACGCACTGGTGCACGCACACGTGCAGGAGGCATTGAGCCCTCGCTCTGGGCCAGGTGTCTGAAATGCAGCAAATCCTTCAGGGGCTTACCTCTTAGGCAGGGCAAACGGGCAGTAAGCAAACCAGCCCACATAGAGGTGACATGCTTCAGGGCGGAACGTGCCATGGCCAGAAGGGGTGAGAGAGAGCCAGAGAGAAGGCCATTATGGGGACATGGTTTTTACAATATAATCCTATCTAATAAAGAGGGAATATGCTAATTGACCATCACACCCTCACAAAGATGGCAGTACCCACAGCCAATAAGGAGGAAATATGCTAATTAACCACCACTCCCTCAAAGATGGCAGCGCCCACAGGCACAAGGTGGCGGCCCCCAGTCCCCTCAGCCCTACTGGGGTGGCAGGTGCACTCACAGGCAGGTTTGGCTTCTCCACACACCTGCCTCCAGAGTCCCCCAGTTCCCTCAGGTAACCAGGGCAGGCTGAGGCTAATGCTGCCGGCAGTGGCAGCAGCAGAGGTATGACGGGAGTGTCACCTTCCCCTGATCGCTGAGTTGCCTCCTGCCCCTGAGGGCTCCCAGATTGTGAGACGGGGCAGGCCAGGCTGAGGGACCCCCCCCCCTCCAGTGCATGAATGTTCATACATCAGGTCTCTAGTTACCCTATAACTATAGTGACAATGAACACTTTGAAAGCACTTGCTTTTTGAGTGAGTAGTGTTGAATAACAGCAATATTTGTGCCAGGCAGCATTCTAAATGCTTTCGTTGATTTCAGCCTTCCAGCCACAGAGGTACCCTCGGCATCATCATCTCACAAATGAGGTGGAGGTCAGGGCAGTTGCCGGAAGCCACACAGAACCGAGGTTAGGCTTCTGCAGGACCTGCCTCCCCGTGCTGGAGGGAATGAGTGTCCTGTTGTCAGGAAGGGAAATGGGGGGGAGAGGAGGTTACGGAGGAAGCCGAGGCACAGGCTCAGTGACAAGGCTGGGAAGTGGTGAGGCCCAGACTCAAATCCGGCAGCCTGGCTCCGTGGTCTCTGCGCTTTAGCACGCCAGCGGCTCTCACGCTTGAGCTGGGCTTGTCACCGGAGGTTGCTAGGTCCATCCCCCAGAGATTCTGACTTAGCAGGAGGGGGCGGGCTTGAGAAGACGCATTTCTGCCAAGATCCTGACAGGTGACGCGGGCGCTGCTGGTCCAGGGCCACACCCTGAGAGCCGCTGCCTTGGGCTGCCTCTCAGGGCAGGAAGGGATCGCTAGCTCGTTCCTTGCGAGTAAGGAAACGGAAACTCGGAGAGGATGTGTGGTGCAAAAATCACGCAGCTGTTGCATGGTGGTGCCAGGATGGCAAACCCAGGCGATTGGCCTCCAGGGCCCACATTTTTTTTTTTAATATATTTTTATTGATTTTGTACAGAGAGGAAGGGAGAGAGTTAGAGTTAGAAACATCGGTGAGAGAGAGTCATCGATCAGCTGCCTCTTGCACACCCCCTACTGGGGATATGCCCGCAACCAAGGTACATGCCCTTGGCCGGAATCGAACCCGGGACCTTTCAGTCCCCAAGCCAACGCTCTATCCATTGAGCCAAACCGGTTTCGGCAAGGGCACACATTTTTTAACCATTTCCCTGCACTGCCTCCTGCCGGTCAACATAATAACTGCATGTGCACTTGAACGAATGGATTTCCAACACACACACACACACACCCAGCCGGGGAAACTGAGGTGGGGGAGCTGGGCAAGGCAACCCCCGGCCTGCCCTGACCTCCTCCCCCGCTCCCCGCCCCGCCCTCAGGTGAAGCTGGTGTTCATGGAGAACCAGGCGGTGGTGGAGACCGTGTTCTTCCTGACGTCGCGCACGCGCGCGCTGCTGCGGCGCTTCCCGCGCCTGCTCCTGGTGGACCGGCTGCCGGGCCTGCAGGGCGCGCTGGACCTGCTGGCCGTGCTGTGCGTGGACGGCGCGGGCCGCGCGCGCCAGGCCGCCTGCTGCGTGGCGCGGCCGGGCACGCCGAGCCTGCTGCGCTTCGCGCTGGCCTCGCTGCTGCAGAGCGCGCCCGAGGTGAAGGGCCGCGTGCGCTGCCTGACGGCGGGCCCCGAGGTGGCGGCGCAGCTGCCCGCCGTGCGCCAGCTGCTGCCCGGCGCCCGCGTGCAGATCTGCCGCGCGCAGGGCCTGGAGGCGCTGTTCAGCCGCGCGCAGGAGCTGGGCGGCGCGGGCCGCGAGGACCCGGGGCTGTGGCCGCGCCTGTGCCGCCTGGTGGGCGCCCCGTCGCCCGCCGCCTACGCCGAGGCGCTGGCCGAGCTGCGCGCCCACGGCCCCGCCGCCTTCGTGGACTACTTCGAGCGCCACTGGGCGTCCCGGCGCGACATGTGGGTGCGCTTCCGCGCCTTCGAGGCGGCCCGCGCGCTGGACGCGTGCGCCCTGGTGCGCGGCCACCGCCGCCGCCTGCTGCGCCGCCTCAGCCCGTCCCGCAGCCTGGCGCAGTGCCTGCGCGACCTGGTGGCCATGCAGTGGGCCGAGGCCGCCGGGGAGGCGGCGCTGGACGGCGGCGGGGGGCCGTGGCTGGAGGGCGAGCGGGGCAAGGGGGTCCCGGCGGAGGATGAGAGAGAGAAGGGCCAGGGCCGGGAGAACGGGGACTGGGGGGGCGCCCCGTTAGAGGAGTGGGCCCGGGAGCTGGAGGCCGGAGACGGGCCCGGGGCGCAGTCGGAACACGAGAAGGAGAGGGGGGTGCAGATGCGGTACTGGAGAGGGGTGCAGCTGGAGAACCAGAAGGTGAGGGGGCTCGAGGGGAGCGTGTGGAGAAGGTCCCAGCTGGAGAGCGAGCACCGGGGCTGGAGGGGGGCCCAGTTGGAGGGGGAGGGGGACTGGGGCCTGGAAGGTTACGCCTGGAGGGGGGCCCCCGTGGAGGACCAGGGCCTGAGGGGGCTGGAAGGGCACCCCTGGAGGGTGGACGGGAGGGCCCCGCTGGACTGGGCCAGGGGCCCGGAGGGAGGAGGCTGCAGGGGCAGGCAGGGGGCGGATGCAAAAGCCTCTGGGCTGAAGCCGGGGGGCCAGAGTGGGCTCCCGGGGGAAGCGGAGAAGGGAGGGCGGGTGGAGGTCGGGAACTGGAGGGGGGTCCATTCGGAGAAGCCCCCGGAGCCGGTCCCTGAGGACAGAGACCAAAGGGCGCCCCTTTGGGGACCGGAGAGGAGAGGGCGGGAAATCAGAGAAGAGAGGGGAGCGCGGCCGGGGGGCAAGAGGAGAAGGGACCTGGAGGACGTAGTTCTGGTCCAGCTGGGGGACACGCGGCTGACAGGCCTGGAGAACGGAGGAGGCGGGGGAGCGCCGTCTGGGGGCCCCAAGAACCCAGGTTGGCCGGGCAGGGAGTGTGCGGATGCCGGAGGGGGGTGTCCGGGGCTGGGGAACGGGGTCGTGTGCGGCACCCCCACGGGGACCGCGGTGGAGAGTGACCCTGAACGGGCAGGGGACAGGCTTCAGGACGGACTCGAAGGAGAAGGCCCGGGAGAACCAAAGAGACCTCGCTGCCCGTCCGGAGAGCGGGAGGCGGACCGGGAGCCGCTGGCCAAGTTCCGAGCGGCCTGCGGGCCGGAGCTGGCAGACCTGGTGGCCGAGGAGCTGTCCTTCGCCAGGCAGCACGGGGCCCGGGGCTTCCACACGACCGGGGCGGGCTTCGCCCTCAAGGACGGCGCCTCGGACTTCTTCCTGGACGCCGCCCTGACCCGCTGCAGCTGCTCCATCCACGCCGCCCGGCGCCTGCCCTGCCGCCACCTCTTCGCCGCGCGCCTCCTCACCGGGGCCGCCTTGTTCCACGCGGACCTGCTCAGGGGCTGCTGGGGGAGGGCCCCCGAGTCCTGACCCTCAGCCCCCGCCCGCCGCCCTCCCCGCGAGGGCCGGGGGGCATTCTCTGATCCCAAAGATAACAAGGCCGGGGCCCAGGAGGCCACCCCGCCCCGCCGGCCACCTCCTGGGTCCGCCAGGGACCTCGCCTTGGCGGGTTGCCTCTCTGGGTCGGAGGGGCAGTGGTCAGGGGTCTCCAGGGTCCTGGAGCCACAGGCGTGGAAGGTGGCTGCCAGCGTGGATGCCGAGGGCTTCCTCAGACGGTGAGGCATCGACAGGGTCGGGCCGGAGCAGAAGGAAGGAAGGACAACAGAGGAGGGGAGGACGCCTGGCTCTGGGGCCAAGGCCACGGAGCGCAGGTGGAGGAGGGGCAACGCAAGGAAGAAGGAGGACCGATGGAGGAGAGGTCAGGGGAGAAGAGACAAGATGTGCTGCTTGTTCTTGTGAGTTCCACTTGTTTTGGCAGCACTGGCTGCCCCTCCCAGAGCCCAGGAAAGATCTGGGGAGCAGCCACAAGGTCAAGCTTAATTATGCTAAGAGGGCTGTGCCCTCCAAGCTGGGACTTGTTTGCGACTTTGCCAGCAGGTCAGTCTTGGGCCTAACCCTATAACCGCTCCCTACAAAGATAGGAATGGGAGAGAGCGAGAGAGGAGGCGGAATGGAGAGGAAACAGGAAGAAGCAGAGGGAGGCAGGAGGAGGGCCCGGGAGAAGGTGGAGAGGGAAGAACATACGGGGACCCTACAAAGGAAGAGGGGGAGAGAAGACAGGAAGGAGTGATGTGGGTTCTCTCCCCAAGGACTGGAGGCTTGGGTCCCGTCACCTGCTGATCGGTCATTCCCAGAAGTCAGAGCAGGAGGGAGCCCGGAGAGTGTTGGGGGATGGTCTGGGGCCTCCGGTGGCGGTGGCGGAGGGGAGCAGTCGGGGCTGTTGTGCTTTGAGATTGGAATAAAACAGCACTATTTTGGTTTCCATGCTGAGTTCTTGGCTTCTGGGGGTGGGCCGGGGGCCCAGGCCTGGAGGGAAATCAAGATGGTCCAGCATTCCTCCATTCTTTCCACGGGCCTGCTGGGGGCACAGTAGGACAGAGGGGCCACAATGAACCCATCTCCCCGGCAGCTTAGGCTTCCTGTACCCCTACCTGCTCCACATGCTCAGCTCAGTCCCTTCAGGCCTCCCCTCAATGTCACCTCTTAAGGGCCACCCCTGAACAGTTCACCTAAGGAGTCACCCCAAAAAATAAATTAAAGCCACTCTGTTCTTTCTCAATGTTTAATATATATACTAGAGGCCCCACGCACGAAATTCATGCACAGAGGGAGTCTTAGCCCAGCCTACTCCCTCTTCAATCGGGGACCCCTAAGGGGATCCCTCTCACAATCCTGGACTGCTGGCTCCTAATTGCTCACCTGCCTGCCTGCCTGGTTGCCCCTAACTGCCCCCCCTCCCCACCAGCCTGGTCACCCCCAACTACCATTCCCCATCCCCGCCAGCCTGGTCACCCCACGCAGCCTGTTCAGTCATTTGGTCATCCCTCACTAACCCCCCTACCGACCTAACCGCCCCCCACCTCCTACTTTTTCAGTCATTTGCTCAGCCCTTGGGCCAGCCCTGGGCGGCTGGAGGGCTGAGGGGACTTGGGGTACTCCTGAGACAGGCGCACAGAGCATCCAGACCCACCTGGGAGCAGGCCCGGCTATGCCTCGTGCCTGCCATCCCGGCGGGGCTGAGGGAACTGGGCACTGCCATCTTGTGAGGATGTGATGGTCCATTAGCATATTCCTTTTTTATTAGATAGGATATACTACATATACACATACATACTAGAGGCCTGATGCATGAAATTTGTGCAAGTGTAGACCTTCCTCCAGCTGCTGGCTCCAGCTTCCCTCTGGCACGTGGGACCCAGGCTTCCCTTACAGCCCCAGCTTCGCCCAGAAGTTTGTGCAGAAGGATGTCTGGTCTAATCAGCACATTATGTTTTTATTATTATAGATATGTTTTTATTGATTTCAGAGAGTGAGAGAGATAGAAACATCAATGATGAGAGAGAATTGTTGATCGGCTGCCTCCTGCATGCCCATCACTAGGGATCGAGTCCACAACCCAGGCATGTGTCCTGACCAGGAGTTGAACTGTGACCTGGTTCATGGATCAACACAACCACTGAGCAACACAGGCTAGTCTCAACATTACTCTTTACAACCTTAGCACTTTCTGAGAGCATACCATGTAGCTATTGACCAGTTTAGCAGTGCCTACGCATACAGAGGATAAAGCCAGACTCTCTCAGTCCAATTCCAGTTCTGGTATTTCCTTGCTATGTGACATGTGGTTTCTTATTCTGTCTTCGTTACAGTTTAGAGATAATAATAGTGCGTATCCGAGGATAGATGAGTGAGTGTGTGTACCAGTGTTCTAACACTCCACTTCCCCAGAGGGCTCTCAATTGCCTATTAACATACCCTGTTTTCCAGTGATCTGTGTCCCCCATTTTTAAAAATATATTTTATTGATTTTTTTATAGAGAGGAAGGAATAGGGATAGAGAGCTAGAAACATCGATGAGAGAGAAACATCAACCAGCTGCCTCCTACACACCCCCTACCGGGGATGTGCCTGCAACCAATGTACATGCCCTTGACCGGAATCGAACCTGGGATCTTTCAGTCCACAGACCGACGCTCTACCACTGAGCCAAACCGGTTTCGGCTGTGTCCCCCATTTTTTAAAAATATATTTTATTGATTTTTTTATAGAGAGGAATAGGGATAGAGAGCTAGAAACATCGATGAGAAACATCGACCAGCTGCTTCCTGCACACCCCCCATTGGGGATGTGCCCACAACCAATGTACATGCCCTTGACCAAAATTGAACCTGGGACTCTTCAGTCCGCAGGTCCACACTCTATCCACTGAGCAAAACCGGTTTCGGCTGTCCCCCATTTTTAATAGTCCGCCCCCACCAAAATATAAGCTCTATTTTGTTTTTCCAGCATTTCCGCAGAAAGTACTGGGTTAGAAAGATGAAAGAATATAAATGGCAGGCTGGCTAGTAGAGCTAGCGCTTCGTCGTGCTCCGTATTGCTATGGTGACAAAGGAGCAAGATTCCTTTTCAATAACCCCACCTGGCTCCCAGCTCTCCCCTTGGCGACCTGTACCTGAAAACTACAACTCCCAGCAGGCTAAGCGCCGCCAATACCTTTCAAGTTGTGCGCCTGCGCAGTTCAACCACCTGACCCTTGACAGCTCGGGGGTCCTTAGTGGGGGCGCTAAGGATGGGGACAGAGAATGTCAATCCTTTGCTCGCTCAGCATTGCAGGGCCCCGCGTCTCTCCCGGTGGGAGGGGTCTGAGTCCCAGGGCCACATGAGGGGAGTAGAGGGGACCGCTCTGGTCTCCATGGTGACGGGCCGGGCTCGGAACCAAAGAGGATTAATGCAGAAGGATGGAGGGGGAAGCCAAAGGTGGACGTTGCCATGGTGACCTTAGAGCCAAAGGAGGCGGGGTGAGAGCAAAGGGATTAGTGATTACAGGAATCAGAGTGACTGGAATCAAAAGCGCTCTTGGAGAATGTGAGGAAGGAATCAGCTCGAGATGAGGGGAGCCCGGGTGATTCCAGGGGAACTGGAGTTTTGAAGGAACTGGAGTGTCCTAGTGAATTCGTATGTAATAAGGGGCTTTAGGGTGAGCGTTGGAAAAATCAGCATGCTAATAGAAAACGGGTGATTTGGGGGAAATGGAAATGCAGTGGAGAGAAATATAATAGATGTTAAACTCGTTCGTCTCTCAGAAATTGTAGAGCCGAAACCTGTGTAGCTCAGTGGATAGAGCGTCGGCCTGCAGACTGAAAGGTCCTGAGTTCAATTCCGGTCAAGGGCATGTACCTTGGTAGCGGACACATCCCCACTAGAAGCAGCTGGTCAATGTTTCTCTCTCATCGATGTTTCTAACTCTCTATCCTTCTCTTTTCCTCTCTGTAAAAAAAATCAATAAAATATATTTTAAAAAAGAAAGAAAGAAATTGTCTGTAGAGGCATTGTACCAGGCACAGCTGGATTTCGGAAATGCAGTGGTGAGCAGGCAGGTGTGATACGGGGGAGTCAGGGTGTTCTAGGGAAAGGAGGGTGTTCTAGGGAAAGGAACGAGGGTGACATGGGGAAGTTGGAGGTTTTACAAGGAATTGGTGAATTATGTAAATTAATTCTGGTACTATTTTATTATCTTTTAAGTTTTTTTAAAAAAAATATTTAATCTTCATCCGAGAATATTTTTCCATCTTTTTTTTTTTTAAGAGAGAGAGAGAGCCAAAGCCGGTTTGGCTCAGTGGTAGAGCGTCGATCTGTGGACTGAAAGGTCTCAGGTTGGATTCCGGTCAAGGGCATGTACATTGGTTGCGGGCACATCCCCGGTAGGGGGTGTGCAAGAGGCAGCTGGTCGATGCTTCTCTCTCATCGATGTTTCTGGCTCTCTATCTCTCTCCCTTCCTCTCTGTAAAAAATCAATAAAATACATTTTAAAGAGAGAGAGAGAGAGAGAGAGAGAGAGAGAGAGAGAGAGAAACATCGGTGTGAGAGAGACATTGATCTGTTCCCTCCTGCACATTCCTGACCTGGAGCTGAGGATCAAGCCTGCAACTGAGATACCTGCCCTTGACCGGAACTGAACCCAGGACCCGTTAGTCCAAGGTCTGATGTTCTATCCTCTGAGCCAAACCAGCTAGGGCGCTGTTTTTAGAAGATCACTGAATACCATCTGGCAAGCCCTGGGATTACCTGAGTGAGCAAAGTCAGCACTGAGGATGGCATTGCCAGATTTAGGGGGGAAGCAACCAGTGAAGTTCAAATTTCCAACACACAGTACTTCAGTTACTTGTTGTTTATCAGAAATTCAAATTCAGTTAGGCATCCTGTGTTTTTTTGCCTAGAACACTAATTTGGGGGGATTGGGGTGTTTGGAAAGAATGCATTATTACAGAGCTCCTGGGGCATTGAACGGTGATTGGGTTGAAGGAAGAGAA